TGGCCCAAAGGAAAATTTTCTGTGGCCCCTAACTAACGTTTCTGTGGCCCTAAGAAAACGATTCGTGGCCCTAATTAACTTTTTCCTGTAGCCCTAAGAAACTTTTCCCTGTGGCCCTAAGAAACCCGTTTCTTTGGGCCCTAATAACAGTTTTTCGTGGCCCTCAGTAAAAATTTCGGGGCCCCATAAAAATTTTCTTTTGTCTGCCCCTTTATTAAAAATTTCCCTGTGTCCCTAAGTAACTTTTCCCTTTTGGCCCTAAGTCCGGTTCTTTTGCCCTCAGTAAAAAATTTCTGTGTCCCTCTTAAAAATTTTCGGGGGGTGTCTGCCCCTAAGGGGGGAACAATTGGGGGGGGGGTGGGGGGGGGGGGGGGTAGAACTTTTCTTTTCCCCTAAGTAACGTTTCTGGGGCCCCCCTAAGTAACGATTCTGGGGCCCCCTAAGAAACCGATTCTGGGGCCCCAAGTAACGATTCTGTTGCCCTAAGAAAATTTTTTCCGGGTGGCCCTAAGGGTAACGTTTCTTTTTTGTGCCCCAAAAAGTAACGTTTTCTTTTAAGCCCTAATTTTAATTTTCGGGTGGCCCAAAGTTTCTTTCTGGGGCCCTCGTAACATTTTCTGTGGCCCTCATTTAACAATTTTTTTGCCCCCCTCATAAAAAATTTTTTGTTTCGGGCCCCGAAAAACAATTTTTGTTTTTTCCCTAAGTAACTTTTCTGGGGCCCCCTAAGTAACATTTTCTGTGGCCCTCAAAAACCAATTCTTTTGTCCCCCCCAGTAAAAATTCTGTGTCTGCCCCTTAAAAAATTTTCTGTGCCCCCCCTAAGTAAGGGTTTCTGGGGCCCCCAAAAAACAAATCTTTTTCCCCTTTCATTAAAAAATTCTGTGTCTGCCCAAAGAAAACAATTCTGTGCCCTAAGAAACCCGTTTCTGTGGCCCTAGAAACGATTCTGTGGGCCCTAAGTAACTTTTTTCTGGGGGCCCAAATTAAGGGGGGTTCGGGGGGGGGGCCCTAAGAAAACTTTTCCCTTTTTTTTCCCTTTTTTAACGTTCTGAAACCCTAATTTACGTTTTTTCTGGGGCCCTAAAAAACTTTTTTCTGTGGCCCTAAGTAACATTTCCCTGTGGCCCCCCGTAACAATTCGTGTCCCTCGGGAAAACAATTCTGTGTCTTCTCTGAGAAACAATTCTGTGTCCCTAAGAAACCGTTTGGGGGCCCCTAAGTAACATTTTCTGTGGCCCCATAACAATTCTGTGTCCCTCATAACAATTCGTGTCGGGCCCTGATAAAAATTTCCCCCTTGGGGCCCCCAAAAAACGTTTCTGTGGCCCAAAGGGTAACGATTCGGGGCCCAAAAGTAATGATTCTGGGGCCCAAAAAAAGTAATTTCTTTTGGCCCTAAGTAACGTTCTGGGGCCCAAAAGTAACAAATTCGTGGCCCAATAACGTTTCTGTTTTCCCTAAGAAAAGTTTCTGGGGGCCCTAAAAAACTTTTTTCTTTTTTTCCCCAAGGGAACGTTTCTGGGGGCCCAAGTAAGGGTTTCTGTGTCCCAAACTAACTTTTCATGCCCCCTAATTTAACGTTTTTTTGTGTCCCTAACCCTCCCCCTGAATACAGCCAGGTCGCCCGTTGAATGACGGGAGGCAAATTTGGAAATTTCAAAAATTTGGCCGCCATTTATAACACCGACCAAAACACAGTGCTGGTTTGGCTGGTTTCTGATTGGCTAATGCATCACAGGGCATAAATGAATGCATTATGGGTCAGGGGCGCCTTGTTTTGCGCGCCTTCCCAAAAAACCCCCGCTCCGTCGCCGGCACAGGGCCCGCCCCATTTCGGGAAAAATTTCCATTCGCAAGCATCCGAAGTCGGCTTATTTTGGGTTTTTGGCGCAAAATAAAAATTTTTTCTAAAAATTCGAATTGAATTCCCTTCGCCTACTTCGTTTCGCCTCATCTCTATGGGGTACAGGGAAACACATTATTTTTTATAATTGTGGCTTTTCTGTATTTTGGATGTTTATTTACCCAACTGTTTTTTTAGACTTTTGTTTTTTTTTACAGGGGGGGGCCCTCTTTTTGCCCCAGCTGAAACCTTTTAAAGACCCCCCCTGGGGAAAATTAGATCGGGGGAAAATGGGGGGGTTGGGGGGGGTTTTGGGGGGGCATTCCTAAACCCCCTTTCCCGGGGGGGGGGGGGGGGGGGGGGAAATTTATTCAAAAAGTTTACATTTTTCTAAAATTTTCAAATTTTTGAATAAAACTCTTTGGGGGTTTTTTTGTGTTTAAATAGACACTTCAATTTTTTTAATGATTTTTTAAATTAAAGGACTATTTTTTCCTTTTTTAAAACAAATAAAATTATTGAAAAAAAATTTTTGGAATTTTATTAAATTTTTTTTGTGGATTTCTTCCTGGGGGTTTGGATTTTAAAGGCACCATTAAAATCGTGTACAAAATTTCCCAATTTTTTCTGAAACCCTCATTAGCTTCGGGGAAATGGTCCTCTTCCTCCCACGCCCGAATTGCAGGACTTCTCCAGGACTTCCCCCATCATCTGGAACTCCCTACCCCAATCCATCAGACTGCCACCTACCCTCCTCACCTTCAGGCGCACCCTGAAAACCCTCCTCTTCAGGGAAGCCTACCCCAACCTCACCTAACACCCGACCTCACCTAACAACTAACCTCTTCCACTCCTCCCACCACTCCATCCTCCACAGCCATCTCCTCCTGTACCACCTTCCCTTCCCTCCTAGATTGTAAGCTCGAAAAGCAGGGCCCTCAAACCCCTCGTGTAGTGTATTGTTACTGTCTTGTCTCATGTTCTGTCCCCCTTGCTACTGTACAGCGCTGAGCATACCTTTTGGCGCTATATAAATACTGAATAATAATAATAATAACGGTATTATATTCAAGAACATCTGGAGGCCCTGGGTTACTTGGATTGGAGCTGGGCGTCTACAATAAGGCAGATGACCCAGAGAATAAGATTTTATACTGTAGTCACTGTACTGTATAGTTTCTATTTTCCATCTATTTTCTTTTCTTCTGATACCAATGTTTTGTTCAACAAATTTAATGTGTCAGATTAGATAATTTATTACTCCTTTCTTAGTGTAAATTATTTCAAATCTACTTTGTTGTTTTGATCTCATTGATAATTTTGATATTTTAAAGCCATAACACTCAAATTATTGAACCTGTTGTGTTCTCACATCTTTGTGCTTTTCAATTTTAAATGTAATACTACATGTCTTTTCTCCAATGACTGTTACTCTACAGCTGGGTACACATGGCTCAAAACAGGCCCAATTTCGATCTGTGTGTAGCCCTCCCGTTTGAGTTCTGCTTCTGTGGCACGGTCCTGCTAGGAAACCTTCTTCGATCAGCAGCTGGCAGCCAATTGGTGTATTCTAACAGTGGAGAGTCAGTTTTTTTCATTTAACTCGCCTTCTAAAGTAAGTAAACAGCAGGTGCTGTAAGCATTTTAGAAATACACTATACTGGGCTTAAAGTGGTAGTAAAGTCTTGTTTTCAGAATAAAAACTTCAGTCCCCCTGCAGGTTTTTAAGTCATAATATAGTAGTATGCACTGCACACTAGCACATTAATAACAGACTTGCCTGAAAACGGAGCTCTCTAGCGCTGAGCTGTCACAGCTCCCTCTTGTCCTCAGCGCATCCACCTTCGCCCAATATTCCTTCCGGGTTCTCTATATTTGGCCGTTTGAATGGCTGGGCTGCGATGATGTCAGTCCCGCACATGTACGCAGGAGTCACATCACCGTGGCACACAGATCAGGCCATAAATTTAATGTGAGCTGCGCATGCATGGCTCAAATCACATTATCCCTGTCAGGCAGGGGGTACATTTATGACAGAAGAGACCACTAAAGCTTCTTCTGTCGGTGGATTTTTAAATCCTGACTTTATTACCACTTTAAAGTGGTTGTAAAGGCTGACTTTTTTTTTAGCTTTATGCATCCTCTACATTAGGTTGAAAAAACCTTATGTTAACAGCTCCTCCCCAGCCCCCCCTAAATACTTACCTGAGCCTGATCAGCCAGCACTGTGCCCGAGAACAGTGTCTCTCTCCTCTCTCTCTCCTCAGAGGCAGCAGTGGGAGCCATTGACTCCTGCTGCTGTCAATCAAATGCTGTGAGGAGGGGGCAGGGCCAAGCCCCACTGTGTGTGTCTATAGACAGCCTGGCTTGGGATTGAACCCACTCGAGTGCCAGCGTAGCAAACGGCTTGTATGGGGGCAATTGAAAGGAAGGAGGACGCCAGAATAGGAAGTAAGAGCAGGTAAGTATAGTATGTTTATTATTGCAAAATAAATGATTGAACCTTTACAATCTGGTTTAAAAAAAATTAATTCAAGTAATTATTCTTAAAGTGGTTCTAAAGTCTAAATCTTTTTTACCTTAATGTCTCTTTGTTCCTTAATCTCTACATTAAGGTAAAAAACACCCCAAACCACTTACCTGACTCCTCTCCAGGGGCGGACTGACAACTCATGGGGCCACTGGGCAATAGGGGATCATGGGGCCCCTGTGTCCTTGCCCAAACTCAAAAAAGCATATGAAAGAGGTACCAGGGGCATCTCATGGGGCCCCCTACTGACCCCGGGCCCTCGGGCAGTGCCTGAGTTTCCAAATGGTCAGTCCGCCCCTGCTCCCTCTCATGATCCAGCGCTGTCTCTGGCTGCAGCCAGGCTTCTGCTGCTGTCAGTCAAATTCCTGTGAGGAGTGAGGGGGGTCGGGGCTTATGGACTCACAAAGCCCAGATTGGGAGCATGCCCGTACAGGTGCCCCCTCAGCACTATGCTTGCTGTGGGGCACCCAGAAGAAAGAAGGAGCAACACCAGAGGAGAACTCTAGAAGAGGAGGTAAGTGACCGCACTGTGCAATATCATTATATAGAGCAGGTAACTATAAACCTCTTTTTTATTAAAAGAAAAAAACCTTTAATATTACTTTAACTAAAAAAATCTATTGCTCTAAGCCTCCTCAGAATCTCCAAATTACTTTATTTTGATGTTGTGAATGTAGTCACCCTCTCTTGTTCCTTTCCAAGATGGACTAGGAAATATGGACTATGAGATTTGTAGTGTGCATAGAGCAATGCACACAATGACAACTGACATGCACTGCTGATTCCCAACCAACAGAAGTGAGGGGGAAACTGTATAAAAAGGTTTGGCTGGAGTTGAGCTATTATAAAAAAGCAAAGTTCATTGAGTTATTCAGATATTCTTAAAACTGATTTTCAATGTAGCATACATGTGCCATACCTGTCCCAGTCCCCATGGAAGCTGAAAATCACTGCACCTCTACTGCAGCAATCTCTGCTAGCTTCTCATGTCAAGCTGCTGTCCTGCTGCTTAGTAAACATGCTTGGCATCGGCGCCATTCAGGGAACATTTTGCATTCTCTCAATGAATGCAAAGCATTCTCTGATTGGACAAAGTGGAGTTCATGACATCACCACCCTGCCTCCTTATCTTGTCCAATCGGAGAACATTTTGTATTTGTTGGGAAAATGCAAAGCGATCTTTGAATGGCACCAAGCGAGTATTCCCTAAACAGCAGGACAGCCACTCGACATAGGACCTTGAAGCTACTGAAGATCACTGTAGTAGCCAGGGGTGTATTTACCACAAGGAAAACAAGGCATTTGCCTAGGCAGCATTTTTCAGGGGGACAGCCCCATTTTTCAAATGGGCAGTGGCATTTTTCAGGGAGGCAGTGCCGCCCCCCGAAAGAAGGGATTTGAAGAAGGGACACGCAGCATGGGGGACCAGGTGGGATCTGAGAGAGGCTGCGGGCTGCTTGAAGGTGTATGCAGAGCCTGACTCTTGTCAAGAGCTGTGAAGGTGAGTGTCTTCTCTCTCACCAGGGTGGGGTTGCAAGTGTATGGGAGCGGTGATAGTAGAAAAACTCTCGCGGGAAGTGGTGGGGGCTGGGGTGTTGTTGGCCAATGTCAGGCTCTCTTTGTGGGGGAGGGGGGTGTTGGTCGGTGTAAGGGTCTCCCTATGAGGGGGAAGAGCGACTTTTGTGTTGCCTAGGGCAGCACAAAACCTAAATACACCATTGGTAGTAGCAGTGCCTATTACAGCATTTTCCAGTATCTACGTGGATTGGCCAGATATGGAACATGCATACTTACATTGGTGCAAGCTTTTTCACATTATTGCCCTGAGCGTAGCAAAGCTTGCACCTGCTCACATAGGTACCCAGGTCTAATTGATATAAAGGCTTGGCTTTTTTATACCAAGTCCAGCATTGCATCCTAATGCATTTGTCCAAGGTGCTCAAAACAGTTCCAGCACCAGAAAGTCAACTGAAAAATTTGGGAACACTTCCTGCTCTTTATACAGCATGATTTCGTCTGTGTACTATTGTAAATGTGAGAGTGTTAGACTCCTGTAGTTATAGGTACTATCATTCCCATCTTGGGATCAAGTCTTATTCTCTTAGTCTCTATTCCTGAAAGACAAGCACAAGTCACACCTATTACACACCATAGTTTCCATAACTGCTTGTAGGTTCTTGGAAACATCTGCTCAGCTCTTTATTTTTCCATATGTCTTTGTCTAAACTTGTCCTTACGGTATTATCTATACTCCCCTGTGTGATTCTTACCTTTATAACACAAAAATGAAGCCACAAATTTTACACAATATGCCAAAGTCTTGTGTATTACTAGAGATGAGCGAATCGAACATGGCGAAGTGGAATTCGTTTCGAAGATCAGGAAAAATTCGATTCGCGCCGAATCCGAAAATTAGCAAACTTCGGATGCACGAATCGAATTTTCCCAAAAATGGCGGCGACATGTGTGGCGACGGAGCGGGGATCTCTGGGAAGGCGCGCAGACAAGGCGTGCTGACCCATAATGCATTCATTCATGACATGTGATCGCATTAGCCAATCAGCAGCCAGCCAGCCAGCACTGTGTAATGGTGGAGCTATAAATTGCGGCCATCTTACAATTCTCCATTAGCCTCCGGTCATTCAAGAGAGACAGACCTGTCTGTATTAGGGACAGAGTTAGGGCCACAGAGACTTTAGGGCCACAGAATCGTTACTCAGGGACAGACACATAATTGTTACTCAGGGACAGACACAGAATTGTTACTGAGGGACACAGAATTGTTACTCAGGGACACAGAATTGTTACTGAGGGACGCAGAATCGTTACTCAGGGACGCAGAATCGTTACTCAGGGACGCAGAATCGTTACTCAGGGACGCAGAATCGTTACTCAGGGCCAAAGAATCGTTACTCAGGGACACAGAATTGTTACTCTCAGGGACAGACAGAAGAACGAATTTACTGAGGGACACAGAATCGTTACTGAGGGACACAGAATCGTTACTGAGGGACACAGAATCGTTACTCAGGGACACAGAATCGTTACTCAGGGACACAGAATTGTTACTGAGGGACACAGAATCGTTACTCAGGGACACAGAATCGTTACTCAGGGACACAGAATCGTTACTCAGGGACACAGAATTGTTACTCAGGGACAGACACAGAATTGTTACTCAGGGACAGACACAGAATTGTTACTCAGGGACACAGAATTGTTACTCAGGGACACAGAATTGTTACTCAGGGACACAGAATCGTTACTCAGGGACACAGAATCGTTACTCAGGGACACAGAATCGTTGAATTAAAGAGTATGTCAGACAACACGCAGAGGAGTGGCAGAGGAGGCAATGTTTCAGGAGCGAGCAGACGTGGCAGCAGAGGAAGGGGTCGAGGCAGCACTAGTCGCAGCCAGAGGCCAGTGCTCCCGGTGTCATCCAGCGGTCGTGTCTCCACCGACAACCCTGCCGTCATCGATTGGTTGGCTCGGTCGTCTTCCTCTTCCCAGGTCACCTCTGACACCTACAGCCAACGGTCGGTGGGTACGTCAGACACAACCGTTAGTTGGCATGGCCCGGGAGCAAGCCCACTGAAATCACGTGTCCTCTACCTGCCCCTGTCCTTTGGTGTTCCCTCACCAAGCGAAGTATCGCATGCTGTGGGCTCAGCCCCACTGTACAGTGAGGAAGAGCTAACAGAGGGCGGTCAGGAACGGGGGGAGACATCCGCCTCTTCAGCAGCCAGGCGAAGAAGTACTGGCGAGGAGAGTGGCTCGGTAGCCGGTCTAGAGACAGGTCTGTCTCCTGACCCACACGCAGCCGAGGGGGCTAGTAGTGAGGCGGAGACCCTAATTGATGATGATGAGGCTGATCGCACTTGGCAGCCTCGTCGTCATCAGGCTATTGCTTCCGCATCATCAGGAGAAGAGGGTGCCAGCTTGGCAGCGAGCAAAACAGTCGGTGGGTTGCCCAGGAGGCAGCAGGGTCGCAGCAGTGTCAGTGGAGCCAAACGGCCACGGAGTAGAGCACCAGCTCCACTGCAGCCTACCACCACGGCCAGTAGTGGTGCCGGTGTGCACGGAGGAAGTAGCAGTCAGCCAGTGAGGAGTAGCGGGGGCAAAGTTTCCTACTCGGCGGTGTGGCAATTTTTCGTCAAGCCGCCCGAGGAAGTAAACGTAGCCGTATGTCGACTATGTGGCCAGAAAGTCAAGCGTGGCCAGGGGGCCATGTTGGGACTACAGCGTTGCGTCAGCATATGCAGCGTCGCCATTCGGTGGCCTGGGAAAACCGTGATAAAGATACGGCGGTTCTGCCTGCCCCAGCCCCCGCTCCATCACCCGCTCCGTTACTTGCTCCGTCACCCGACGTCAATCGCCCTCTATCAGCCAGTCAAGGCTCCAACACCTCTGCTGAGGGGAGTTGTCGCTCGTTGGCATCTTCCGCTCGTTCAGATGCTCCTTCTCCTGCTACTCCTCTTCACGGATTCCGTCAGCAGTCTTTCTTGGAATCCGTTTCCAAGAGACAACAGTTTGCGAGCACGCACCCGACGGTGCAGAAGCTGAACGTCCTCCTGTCCAAGTTGCTGGTGCTGCAGTCCCTCCCTTTCCAAGTGGTGGACTCAGCACCTTTCCGAGAAATGATGGCTTGTGCCGAGCCGCGGTGGAGAGTGCCAAGCCGGCATTTCTTCGCCAAAAAGGCAGTGCCAGCCCTGCATTCACATGTAGAAGAGATGGTGGGCCAGTCTTTGAGCATGTCGGTCTCTGCCAAAGTGCACGGCAGCGCCGACGTGTGGAGCTGTAACTACGGTCAGGGACAGTACATGTCATTTACGGCCCACTGGGTGAACGTGGTGCCGGCACAGCCGCACCAGCAACTTGGACAGGTCACGCCGCTTTTGCCTCCACGTTTGCACGTCCTTGGTCCAGCAAAGATGTCCGCCTCTACCACCTCTTCTTCCCTTCGTGTCCTCAGCCGCCACCCCGTGCCAAGTCCCATTACCCGACGGCATATCACATGTGCAGGGCGCAACGGTGTCACGCTGTGCTGCACCTGGTATGCCTTGGCGAACGTAGTCACACAGGGGAGGAACTTCTGAGTGTAATGAACAGAGAAATCGACAGATGGCTGTCTCCGCGCAAACTGAAAATCGGAACCATGTTGACCG